ACGATTACAATAGGGCTCTACAGCCTCTCGGCTTGAAAACCTAATAATAATTATTCTATTTATACTGCACCAGATTCCATTCACCACGTTATTGCTCATGGTGCTACATAGTTTTAGCAAATAATGCTGATGAAAGGTGTGTAGAGCTAGATTGGACAGTGTTGTCTGAAAAGGTATGTTTTCAGATGAGTCTTAAAGGATACAAGCGATGGCGACAGCTTAAGATCAGATAGTAGGGAGCACCTTTAGAATACAGTACCACATCTTCTCGTGAGTACAGTCTCTGTCATAGGTCACATGTCTCAAAGACAAGCAACCAGTTTTTGTGAGAATCCGTCGGCCGCAAACTCGCGACCTTCGGATTGTTAGCCTGACAGCTAACCGACTGAGCTACGTCCACACTGTGAAACAAAGTGCAAGTTTACCTAGTCATGCCAACGACGTTACGGAACTGAACGAAAAGGGTCGAATAGGTGATGGACACTTGCAAATGTTACGGGTAGGCATGGTGTCTCCCGACTTTAGTCTACAGACACTTACTGATTATCCCGATGCCATTTTAGCACACTCATCCCATTCCGTAATCTACAACATACCGAGTGGCGAGGAATGATCCGCTATCGTGCGAACTGAAAACGGCTCCAGGCTCCAGTACGCATGAACGACATGGTATTTAATCATTCGTCGGGTGGATTTTGTGACAGAAAAGTGTGGTAGGGAACACTGAAAGGATGATGTGGATAATAGTAAGGAACGAGGGAGGCATGTGCATGAGGGACGACACAACGGTGAGTTCGCTTTTGAATCAGTACTGAAGTAAATAGCCGGTGAAAGTGGCTTGTGTGAATGTTCCAGGACAGTTTCCAGCAGCCAAAGTATTCGACACAAAACCATTTCATCCTTTTTACTCGACGTTTTTGTGTGAAGAATATTATAGAATCTTTAATAGCCATTAAACAGGTAGATATACCTAACCCTAATGATCGTAAAGGGATGACTGACCGTAGAGGGGATCCAAGGGCTAAGGACAGAGTTCGGGTAATCTAATAGCCACTAAACGGGCACCTAACCCTAATGATCGAAATGGGGTGATTGATCGTAAAGTGGATCCAAGGGCTAAGAATAGAGTTTGGGGTAACCTACCCTAACACTGGCGATAGTTGGATGTGTTCAGCGCCAATTTAATATCCCTAATAAACTGCATTTTTATGCATAATAATGAAAATTAATGAACCGAAAAAATAATATATGTATACTAGTTCCCATTATAACCATTTTAGCCAATTGAATTATGAGAAAAAATTTATAAAAATTTTATAAAAAATAAAAGTGCTTTCGTAAACTGACGCTTGCTATAAAATGCGCTGCCGCAGGCTATATTTAGTAAACAAATATTCAAAACTCTCCACACTGCTTGGCATATTCAGTGGCATTTCATGTAGAGATGATAGATCGCCTGGAGGAGCTTATGCACACTCAATGACTCCTGACGTCACAGGGCATTGTTTCCCCGGTGTGACTGGCAACAAAATACTACAAATTCGTCATAGGGTATTGTCATGTGTTTGAAAAGTTTGTGGTACTGTATTCTAAAGGTAGGCAGATAGAAGTTTGTTCCATAGCGAGGAAGCGCAGAACTGGAAAGATCTCTGACCAAAGGTTTTGAGACGAGTTTCCTGGACTTGTAACAGGTGGTTATTCTGAGTGAGTGAGTTGGGTTTAACGCCGCTTTTAACAGTATTCCAGTTATATCATGGCGTGTCAGCTTGATGTGGGAGGAAAGCCCAAAGTGATGCAGGTCTCGGACGTTTACCACTTTGGTGAAACCCTATCATGGGTATGGTGCTGACAAACCTAGAAACATAATCGGGGCGAACCCGGATTCGAACCCACAATCATAGGTTGCTGGCCTGCCCAAAGGGATGCAACTCTGCACAGCGAATCGCAGCACCTGAGACGACTGGGCCAACCGTGCCCCCTGGTTATTCTGAGAACGGAATGATCTGGAAGGTTTGTATTTAGGCAGTAGTTTGGTAAGATATAATGGGGCTCTTTCCATGTTGCATTTGTAGGCCAGGGTTAGAATTTTGAATTCAATTCAGGCTTTGAGTGGTAACCAGTGCAGCGACATCAGAGCAGATGTTACTGGAGTCCATTTTGATGTCTTTGTGACGATACATGCTGCTGTATTTTGTACACGGAGCCTGTGGAGTTGTTCATTTGTATTGTTACTCATGAGATATGTCAAATCGTGATATGACTAAAGATCTAGTCAAAGTGTGTACAGCTTCTTTTGTGAGTAGATGTCGACCGCTTCCAATGTTGCGGAGATGAAAGAAGCAATCATCCACGATTTGATGGCTCAGGTGCAATCTTCGAATTTTTGAAGTTCTGTTTCAGTTTAAGATGGCATAAAAGTCTTCATCATCGGCGTAGCAATGGTAGCTCAGTAGTCGCTCAGAGATGATATGACCCAAACTTTTAGTGTACAGTGTGAAAAGAATGGGGCCCAGAGCTGACCCTTGGGGAACAACACAAGAGAGAACAAAACTATGCGATGCATCAATTTAAATAAGATGTTTGTTTGTTTGTTGTTTCACACTGCACTCAGCAATATTCCAGCTATATGATGGTGGTATGAAAAATAATTGAGTCTGGACCAGACAATCCACTGATTCAGATAATAAGCATCAATCCACGCAATTGAGATACGATGACATGCATCAACCAAGACAGCGAGTCTGACCAGTCGATTCCACTAGTCACCTCTTACAACAAGCATAGTTGCCTTTTATGGCAAGAACGGGTTGGTGAAGACCTTTTCTATTTAATTTACAGATGAAATCAGACTACCACTATATTTTAAATAATTAGTTCCCAGTCAGTTGTATTCATTATCATGTGACTTAAGCCCTCATAGATATTGAATGATTTGGCTGACTAATTAACTATCAACATATCAAATATTGTTAGATCCATACATATTTGATATCTGTCAAAGTTATCATCCATAAGCAAAGAAAATCTGTTTTTGATCATCATTTTCATGAGACCCTTGGCCTTGTTTTCATGCTGACTGACTAAACTGGTTATCAACTTGGCCCGTTTTTCATAAAGGACTACCCTAAAACCCTTGTCAAAATCCATTGGCCAAGTTTCGACTGGCTTACAATTGAGACCAATTCACTGTCGATGTGTATGGCACAATAAAAATATTTCTATGTAGAATCGTTATTTTCAAAACAATGTAAAATAAATCACTTCTGCCAGTAAACATGTTAAACATGTTGGTAAGAAAACATACAACTTCATGAATAACTTCTGATTTACTGCATTTAGGGACGTGTCGATTCTTACACCATTATCAAGCTTATTTTCGCACCAACTTCTAGAATGCCAATTAAATTGTAACTTGTTGCACATGTTGTGATTAACATTTGGCTATTACCATAAAATTATGTGACTCTTGATATAAGAGATATATGACTGTCAGAAAGTTTGACAAGAGGAGGCGAAGCTTGTCAAGTATCTCTCCTGGTTGCTGATCAGCATTACAATTAAGCATTCAATCTCTGCATTAGCCCCCTTCTATCTCAAACTGATCACAATGGTTAATGTGGACTGTTGTGGAGAAGAAGTATACAAGAGTGCCACGAGGCCCCGTATGATGCACCATCCTTGAAACTTGAACCCGAGATTAGGGTATGTGCATTATCTTCATGCATAATATGTAACCCAAGAAAATATTGTATTGTGGGTGACACACGTCTTAGGCAGTCCATTTAAAACAGAAAGTCACTTGACTCTATCTACCTTAATTAGTAATAATTGGTGCAAGCTCTTACAAACCATGCTGCACCAGCACAGAACCCTGCTTCAATACACAGAGACCTCAATCTTTAATGAAGATCACTAAAACATTTACCATTTCCACTGCCTAAAAATGATACATGTATACCATAGAATAGTAAGTTTTGTCTGCTGACGGTAAACCCTTCTTGTAACATTTATATAAAGTCAGTGATCCAAAGGAGGGAAATTCATCCAAATAATTTTTCACCAAAGGTGACATTCACTGAGGAAAGTATTGTCAAATTCTTCAGAAGGCCCGTTATAAAGGCCCATAGGACAAAGTACCATTTTACTTGTACAACAGCAGGACAATGCCTGATCACCATGATGTTTTACAGATGACAGCAGAGTGGCGGATTTTCAGGGTGCTTCTCCGGATTTTAATCCCATTGTCCTTAATGAGCAGCCATATATTTTCATTGTTGAGAATTTGCAGCCTGGAAATCTTGCGCAAGGAAAAAACTGATCAGTGAGACATGGTTGAATCTACCCCAATCTACTATAGACAGTTTTATAGGCAGAATGATGTGGGGCTTGTACCAGGCTTTCGACAGACAGGGTGCCCTCACTGAATATTAATATTGTGCTCGTGAATGAATGGACCCTTACACAGCTTATGATTATATAAGCACATTGAAATATATGATGTATTTCCTTGGAAAAAAATCAAGATATTTAGAATAATGCTATACAAAATTCCAATTTAGGATTTTTTTAATCAGTATTTGCTGCAGACTGCAGGCTGAATATCCGCCTCTGAGAATGTCCAGGGAAATCCCTGAGGTAAATGCCATTTTCTCTTCCAATTCTATAGGCAAATAATCTTCATCAAGATTCAGCTGTCAGAGCTTTGTGGTTTCATTTGTTTGTGAGGTAGGTATGTAAATGTTTGGCAAAGTAAGCTGAGATAATTCACTGTGATTAGAAGTGTAGCAATGTAAAAGGCCATTCGACAAGTGTGTAAACACGTGTAACAACAACAGACAGATGCTCATAAATATAAAATCATTGTTGACTTGTGATCAAGAACAAAAAAGTGCTATTGTAAATAATTCTGTAGTACTTAGGACCACCAAACAAACTGGTGGAAGCTGGCCAGGTGCTGCGGTCAAATACCAGATACAAAAAGATGTGATTAAAGCACTCACCTGGATTCCCCATGCAATCTACAAAAGGATAGACACATAGACAAAATGTAGTCTTGTCGAATTTAGTAAAATCTAAATATTTTTTACTTTTGTATACTTATCCTGCATTACTCCTTATTGCATTCACTGCTTACCTTACCATGACAAGAAGAAGAAATAAAGATGTTATTTCAAATCCCACTTTTATAAGGACCGCTGCCTGTCATGTGACCTTGATGACATGTAAGGTCACCTTCTTCACATCACTGCCTGCCGCCTGAGATTAAAAAACATACGTTTGAGGTTTCTGTAGCCAAAGTGGGGAGGCAAGTCTGCGATGGGTGGGTCCTTAAATGTGGTAATGCAGGATAAGTATACAAATGTAAAACATATTTAGATTTTACTAAATGTTATACTTATCCTGCATTAGTCCTTACTGCATCTGTATCGGATGGTTTGGAGTGAGTAAACCTTCAGAAATACAGAAACCTCAATAATTCACATCCTGAAATACGACACCAGTTGGTTGATAAACCGTGACGCGGAAAAGTTCAGAAAAACGCCATTACGGTAGGGTTCTTCAAATATCAAACAGATTGAACATAAGAATTAACCTGTAGTTACCTATACATATTTAGTAATAAAGAAAATAATAGCTAGCCAGCTAATTCTTTACTTACTATGTCATAGAGCCGAGGTCTGACAAAAAAGACATCTCATATTCTTCCACAGACTGAAATCTCAGTGACTAGCACAGGGAAGTAGACTGGCTCTGTATAGGATGAGTTCATTATTTGAAGTCATATCGCGAAGATAATGACTAGCGAAAACTGTCGAACCTGCAAAAACATCCTTCCATGATTGTTCTAATAGAACAGTTGCTGTGTAAAGCCATGGTAGAGGCTAGCCCCCTGATCTCATGAGGGTTTGGCGATCTCATAGGTCTGAAGGATGACTGCGCGTAACCACAGGGATATGGTGTTGCGACTTCAGTCATGGACATAGGATAAATAACTGCTTCCTCAAACAACGCCTAGTCTTGAGCAGGAGATGAAAACTCGAAGTGCTCGCACCGGGCACAGGTGAAGTTTTTACCTTCATCTTCGGCTCCCACAATAGTCGATATTGGTGGGATGGTGAAGGAACGATCGGGTTGGCCTGGTAGTTGATGTTTTGCTATAAAATCCCAGCACAACCCATGATGTACCGCTTCGTGCGTCCCATGCTCAAAGCATACCCAGGTGATGTTGATCGTGCGTAGCTCGCTCATCCGTGCCGCCATGGCTTAAGCCAAGAGAAATATTGTTTTCGTGGTGAGGTCATAAAATGAGGATGCATGGAGGGGCTCGAAGAAGGGCCACGTTCAAGTCCCCAGCAGGTGGGCTGCACTTGACCTTCTGATCCTCAAGCCTGAGCTAAGTAGGGCCTGTAGTTAGTGGACCTTAGTCATCTTACGACTTTCCGGAACGGCCAACACAAGTGCAACCAAATACGTAGTGCAACCAAATTTCAAGTGTCTATGGGTACACAGGTGTAGGAGGTATTTGGCTAGGAATTGTGGTTACACAGTAGTAGGGTCTTGAATTTTTGCCTTGCAACACCATAAGCTAAGGCTATACCTTTTGCTGCCCACACCCAATAGCCCTTCTCGCTTAACACCTCTTTAAGATGAACCAAGCATGCAGAAAAAACCTGTCTGGCATTGGGTGAGGCAATTTGCAGTGAGGGTGGATGAGTAGGTTGGACCACTGTGGGATGGGTAGTGAATCGTCTTCTGCTAGATTTCTGAGCTCAACAAACCAACCTCTCGCCGGCTACCAGGGTGCGACCAAAGTGAGAGCAAGATTCCTTGTCTCCTTGATCTTTTGTATCACCTTGGGAAATAGAACTGGTGGCGTAAAAGCGTACGCTTTAGCTCTTCCCAAGGGATGCTGAAAGCGTCCACAGACCAAGCCTGCGGATCCGCTAACGGGGAGCCATGAGTCATGAGTTGGTGGTTTTGGCATGTAGCAAACAGGTCAATGTTTGGTTGCCCGAACTTCTGAAGCAGTAACTGGAATACTTCTGTGTGAAGTTTCTACTTGGTTGGAGCCACCTTGTCTGGACGCGGTAACGCATTGGCCCGTATGTTTTGACATCCAGGGATGTGCTGAACAATAATTGAAGTTCCAGACGATCCACTAGATGAAAAAAACCTGAATGTCTGTTGAAGCAAGGAGTGGGAGTTCCCTGATTGCGCAGGCACCACACCATAGTGCTGTTGTCTGTGGATATTGGGAGTTGGGCAGACTGTAGCTGATTCTGCCAATGGGATATGGCCAGAATTAACGCCTCCAACTCCAAGTTATTTATGTTTCACTTTCGATGAGTGCCGGACCACAGCCCTGAGGCTGTCTGGCCTTGCAGGTGAGCACCCCACCCCTGAAGGGTAGTAGACAGGGATAACCCGGATAAAGAGACTCCTCCTAAGACATTCAACTCTACAGTCCACCAATTGAGATAAGGCCTTAGATGAGCCGGTAGAGTGATGGCCTTGAGTGTATCCTGCCGCTTGATGTAAGGGTTCAGGAATTGTTGAATTGGACGCAGTTGTAAGCCGCTTCTGCTGCTTAAGTCCTGTGCCGAGGTGAGTAACCCTAGAAACATTTACTATTGGCGGAGTGTGCGTGGTTGGTGTAACGCAGGTGACAAGAGGCGTAAGATTTTGTGTCATCTGTCCTTCGGTACTGATAGAAGATCCTGGTCTGTCTGGGACAGGCCTCCTATGAACTGGAGCTGATAGGATGGAGTTAATTCTGACTTTGGCTCATTGATTATCCATCCCAGTTGATATAGTCTGGTGAAGTCCCGGTGGCGTACTAATGTCTGCGTGTGTTGATGACACAGGAGACAGTCGTCTATGTACAACTCAAACCAAATGTTCCTCAGGTTCAGATACGCAGTAATTGGCTTCATTACTCTTGTAAATAGCCACGGTAGGCATTCGGTAAGTCGAGACTGATCAAGGAATCCAACACTTTTATGCTGGTTCTGAGCAGTCTCAATGTGGTGAGGCGGAAGTAAAGTGGACGCTTCAGGTAACGTTCATTTAACACAGAGAGATTGTGAATCATTCTCATCTTGTCTGAGTCCTTCTTGGGTACCAGGAAAATGTGAGAATAGAAGCCCGGTGTAAAGGCTGGGGTTCATACAATCTCTACAGCTCCCTTTACAAGCAGTATGTCTATGTTGGCTTTTAAGAGTAGATGTTGCTTTCTTGGATAATTCTGAGGCAGTGGAGCTGTGGTCAACGCTGGAAGCACCTCTACGTCTAGATGATAACCATGATGTAGTACGTTGAGAACATAATCGTCTTTGAGGATGCTCCAGTTCTTCCAGAACCTATTCAGTCTCCCGCCTATGGAAATGCCGACAATTGGGAGAGCTGTGCGGTAAATCTTTCTGTGAAAATCATATACCAGTATTTGAACAATACCAAGCAACAGTAATTTTTAAACAGGATTTGAACTTTTCTTGCATAACCTTATACCAAAACAACTTGGATCTCTATTATCCTGTTCATGCAATAGGTCCTAATTTGTAATAATTAAACAAAAATCGAAATGACAAAGCAAAAAATCCGAAAGCACAACATGTTCATGTTAATAATATTGCACAGGAAAACCTGGAGATTTGTCTGAGTTAGAAAGGAAATAGAACTACATATAGTTTACACTCAATAAATTGGATTTCCAGCCAACATTTATAGTTAAAACACCCACCAAAATTTCATCCCTTTTACAGGTATTGGCAACGTGTGACGCAACCATGTGAAACCCCGTTGGTCATTCATGTGGAACCCACTGATGCCAACTTTACAGTCGGCTGATCCATAAAGCAAGTAAGCTGATATACGAGGGGTGTTCATTAAAGATTTCCCCTAAACCACTTAGGGTTATCATATTTGGTTGAAATTTCACATGTGTAATGATACATGTATCTATGGGTTATGTCTGAATTTGCAGCACCAAACTATTAATCTTACCACTTTTATAGGTGTTATGATCGAGTAGGGTGTGACAATGGAGCCAGTAGAATAGTGGTAAACCGAGCAGTGATTAGGTTTTAATATTTGAAAGGTCGCACACCAAAAGAAACTTTCGATGAAATGAAAGCAACTTATGGGGAAGATGCCCCATCATATGACGTTGTTAAACACTGGCATCGCCAGTTCAAGTGTGGTCGGACATCTGTGGAAACAGCTGCCATTCCTGGTCGCCCCCATTCAGCCATTGATGAGGACACTATCCATCAAGTGGAGACCGCCATTTTGGCAGACCGACGTATAACTGTTCGCCAGTTAGCACAAGATGTCAAGATCAGTGTAGGGTCTGTGGAAAAAATCATCCATGACAATTTGAACATGCATAAGGTGTCTGAACGATAGATTCCCAGGTTGCTCACACCTTTCCAAAAGCAGGAACGAGTCAATTGCTCAAAGGATCTTTTGGACATGTGCCAAAAATAACAGGCAAACTTTTGTGACAGACTTATGACACAGGATGAAACATGGGTCCATCACTATGATCCTGAGACTAAAGTTCAGTCGATGCAATGGAAGCATGTGGAGTCATCACCCCCAAAGAAGGCACGTGTCCAACCCTCTGCAGGCAAGGTCATGCTCACGGTGTTTTGGGACCAGCACAGAGTAGTGATGATGGATTTCTTGGCAAAGGGTACCACAATTACAGGAGCTTATTATGCTTCACTGCTGCAGAAATTGCGGGATGCTATCAGGCTTAAGAGGCGTGGTATGCTGACCAAGGGTGTTGGTCTCCTGCAAGACAATACTCCAGTACACAACTCTCATGTTGCCCAGACAGAAGAGCGGTCCTGTGGCTATGAAATCCTTCCACATCCTCCTTACTCTCCTGACCTTCCACCTCTTTCCAACCATGAAGTCATTTTTGAAGGGAAAACGTTTCACAGATGATGAAACACTGATTTCTGAAGTCAAGTCCTGGTTTGAGACGCAAAATGAGGGCTTTTACAAGCGAGGT